AAAATCAATAGAATCTTGCAATTCCACTTTTTAATAGCATTCAGTTTTCTAGTAATAGAGAATTTACTTTGTTTCTTGGATTCTTAGTATCATCATTAAAAAATTAGTTTTCTAATTTTAGCAAGGAGAGTTATCAGATACCATGGACGGCGCTGTGTGGTTAGGAGAAGAAGGAGATATGTTGTTCGCTTGGGCCGAAAGAAGAAGATCATTCGACGATTTTTACGTAAAATAAGAATCAAGTTGTTACGAAAATACAGGAAGATAAAGCGCATCAGTGGCCGTTGGAGGGTGCGTATAAAGCGACGTTGGTTTGGGCTGCGAAAACGCCGTAGGGGCTGGTTTTATCGTTGGCGGAGACGTTGGAAGAAAATAAGACGCGTTAAACTGACCTGTCGTATAAGAGGTCGACGACGCAGGGTTCGACGCCGACGAAGGAGATGGCTTGTTCGAGTCAAAAGACGCTGGAGACGTTGCAAGCGTCGCGTCACGAGATACATCAGGTATCGAAAGAAGAGAGTCATCGTGCGGAGAGGTAGAGGAGGGTACCGTGTACAACTGAGAAACGGCAAATATGGAAAAACAAGGAGGTTCAGAATTATTTACCGCCGTAAGTATTAATTGATATTAATTAGTATTGATTACTCATAGAGTTTACAATTTTTTTTTCCGTTTTTCAACCGAAATTTTTTAGTAGGTAGTTTTCTAGTTAGACCCTAACTAGTGCTAAAGCGATCGGCACCATTCGATGGAATCAGACCGAACAATTCCCAAAGAGCTAGGCAACCGGAACTTCTACAATCATCCAAATATATAAATGAGCTTTTTTTTCAGTTTGATCGCCTGGTGCTTCATATGGAAACTTGGCTTAAGCTGGCTCAATTTGTCATAAACGCATACATCTTTGAGGAAATTTATCCACAGCTGTTCGTTATTTTGTCTAAAAGGAGACACTGAATCTTAAAAAAAAGTGGTTCCCCAAAAATAAATAGCTCTGAACTAGGCTTAGCCAGGGAACGTAATGGCATCATTGTGATTCAGAACCTCTGGACATTGAAGAAATAAATATATTTACAAACATTGCATTTCTTTGGTAGGGTTCTCAGCGTTGGCAAGAAGTCACACCCATAAAGTAATCATGAAAATTACTCTGTTTATTTTACGCTTTACTTTTTTTCTGATAGGGTTCATTAGAGTGAGATTAGAAAGTCAAGGTTTTGTTGATAAAAAAAGGGGACGCACATTGCTCGGACGCTCGCGGGCCTACATCAGAGTAAATGGAAGAGATTATTCCCCACACCGGCGTGGTTTTAATGTTGTTCTTGTTAACCGTAGAACTGGTAAGAAAACTGTAGACTTTGAGGTTTCATTTTCTTTTTTTTTTCGCATATGTCCCAGCTAATGTGAGTGTATTTCTGTTGTTAACTTTGGGCATTTGGATGTCGAGCGACGTTCTATCGCCAGTGACACTTTTATCTAAATACTCTTCTGAGTTACATGCTGTAAACTCTTAAAATGAAAATCTGAGAGATACGCACTCTGAACAGGAGACTCCAGTGGTCTCGGCTGTATTATAGAGCGCTTTTCGCTTGAGTGTCGTCAAACCAAATCATCTGGGTAGTAGAAGCCACTCAAAAGAATTGGAAAAGATTATAAAGAGCAACTGAGATCTCAAATCAAAATCTGATAAACTGCCTCAAGCATGAGAAGAGGTAAGTGACAAGGACGCACTTTTAACGTTTTGAATATGATTTAATTAGATATTTAATTAGATCAACTCTCTTGTATAGAGAGTCTGAAGCCCACTGCGTAAAACCAGTTTAGCTTCCTTTGCACCTGTTATGAAGCTTGTATATCTTCATGGGGGAAAAAAACAAAAACATAACTGAATTTGCAATCTGGTTATGACCAACAGGTCGGGTTTTCCGAAGGCGAAGTTTTGACACCCATGGCAGCCGTTATCAAGCAAAGAAATTCAAGAGGTTTATTTACGGAATCAAAAGCGGGTATGTTGCGTTAACCTAAGTTACCGTTATCGAATTTTCCATAGTTAATATAGTATTTACCTCTGCGAGATAGGAAAAGAGTTTCTGGGCCAGACACTCAATAAGTTTTGTTCCATTGCTAACCGCTTATGCTCTGATGTGACATGAATATATTTTTTAACTACTCGGGATATTCTTGACCCTATTTGGAAACCGTGAGATTTAAAGTTTTATTTCTTTTTGTTTGCAATTTCGGGCCATCACTTGGAGCAGGAGTTTCTTACTGTCTATGCTGATGCGATGGCAAGGTGCTTTTGGGAACAACTATTTCCAAGAATTTTTCTATCGTTAACTAAGAGAGGTGGTTAAAATAAAGAGAAAAAGTTTAAACCAGGAAGAATCAAGTACGAGTCGTGTGGAATCTGAAACTATTTCCTCTATACCTACATCCATCCAGCTTATCCTTCTAATTTTTTTTCCAGTTATCCCTCACCCTTGAAAATAATTTTTCAAATTCATACCCCAAGTAATAATTCCTAAATGATTCTCAAGAGGGCTTCGTAACATAACGGATGCTACCTGTATTTTATTACCGAGTCTTTTAACTGAATCCTCTGGTTAATATTTCAGCACGATTGTGTTAGTTGCTATCCAAGATGAAGCATATCGATACGGAAGATATTACAAGTACGTCTTCAGAAGGCTTAAAATCCACCCGCGCAGAATAAGATTCGGTTACAGAAGTAGTCTTGCCTTGATCGGTTATGTGGGTGGGCACAGACCATCTTGGCTTAGATATATGAGTCGACATCAAAAACGTGGCCCAAGTTCCTTGGTCTCTCGTATCCCACTTGGCCGAGGTATGTTGAAGTTAGAAAGGTCTTTTGAAACAAACGGAATTAAATAATTTTGAAAGGAAAAAACTGCTAAGACACTTAGCTTTTTTAATTACAGCATAACACAGGGAACATGACGTCATAACTGTGCTTATACACTCTTCCCACGATCATATTTTATACAAAAAAGGTCACCTCTAGGGATCGCTGTTCTTTGACTCCATTTCTATATTTTTTGGTAGGGTTCTTAAGATTGTACGTGCAAAGTCAAGGTTATGTTGATAAATCCTTATTAATAATCTGAAGGAAGCACAGAAATGTCCAGCGAAATTCCACGTCCTTCCAAACGCTGACGTGTCTTGTGTATTCCTTTAGGTAAACCAGAAAAAGTAGAAGAAAAAAATTATTTGTAATGATGACTTAATCCTTAGTGCGCGCCTCATTCCTGAGTGCGTGCTTATCTGTCATGACAACTTATCTTTTTGGCTTACCCTAATTGTGACTTTTTGATATGTTGAAGTTTCCGGAAGAAAGTACCGAAGGATAATAAGAAGGAAACGACGACGAGTCCGACGAAGAAATCGTCGTAGAAGACGTCGAAGACGGAGATATCGAAGACAAAAAATAAGGAGAAAGAGACGACGACGCAGGAGACGAAAACGTGAGTGTACTCTTTCTTAGGGCGGTCGCAATTTTTTTAAGATGTCACCAATCCATTTTTTCAGGAAAGTCGGCGCCCTGATGATTTCACTTTAGAGAGGACGATGTATTTTTCTTGCGCCGCGATGGGTGCGATCTTAAGATGGCTCAAAAACGAGAAACTTTCTCTGAAGTTTATATGATTATCTGCCGTTCCCATTTTCTGTGACATAACGCAGTATTAAGTATAAAATTTAAATGTACTGTAGTATAGCATTGAGAAGCCTTGATTAATTTTTTTAATGCGTAAAATGGGTTCAATTCCTAATCGTAATGTTCGTACCTTTTTGCTTTTAGGGAGGACACTCGTTGTTTATCACGGACGCCGTAAGCCGATAATAAGGAGGCCAATATTAGGGCTGACTTGGAAGAGAAGGGTTAGGCCTCTGCTTCGCTTGACAGTTTACGTTAGGGGCAGGTATAGGCCACTCAAGCGAAGAGGTCGATACTGGTATACATTCATCAGCCCACGATGGGTTAGAGTCATCAGAGGAAAGAGTGTTTGGTATTACCGTTCCCGAAATCGCTGGCTCAAACTCAAACCTGTCAGGCTTTCGGCACGTGTTGGACGCAGGCGATGCAGTATACGACCTCGTGGACGTAAGCTGTACGCTCGCATCGGGAGGCGTTACAAGCGTGTAAAAACGCGATTCATACGCTATGTCCGTTTCAAAGGAAAAAGATTTATAGTCAAGAGAAGAGGGAGGAAGGTTATACTCATCCGTAAAGGAAGACGGACTCGACCTCTGGCAGTAGTACGTTCCCGTAAGTGAAAGGTTGTTTTTTGGACATACGAAAGAGCTCAATTTACGCATGTGTCGTCTTGATGGTAATTAATATCGTTAAAAATTGTTGGTGCTAAGTTAACTATATTTCCGATGTCTAAAACTTTCTTGGAAGAGTTAGGCAATTTTTAGTTGCCGGCTATTTGAGTAAGCTGGAAAGGTTGGGGATAGGTATCGAGAAACTTCTTGTTCACGCAGGTCCCTTTAGTTTTTCAATGAAATCCTTCGCCTGGTAAGTGAATTACATCAGAAATTCTGACTAAAGTTTTTGGAGATCGGAATCGAATGTGTCTTCTTTTGCGCATTTTCCCAATCATGAGGATGCCGTCAAACGCTTAGTTGTAGGCTGATAACACTTGCATGCATAACATTGTAATGCATCGTTTGACTCTAATTAACGTTTAAGTTTAGAAATCAAGTTCACACCAAAAGTTACAACAATCTGCCTTTCGTCGAGGAATCGGATTTTTGATGTAAGGGTCGTTCGATTAAAGATCATCAAAGTGCACTGATTCCAGTAGTTTGTTTGTTCGAGGAAAGTCAAAGGATTCCGAATATTCTCCGTTTTTCTTTCTTTTCTTTTATTTTTTTTTGCACCTATCAACACGAGTCTCGCCGCATTAAAAGGAAGCGACTTTGCTAATAGAAACTTTTTGATTATGGCAGGACGTTATAGCCGCAAACTTTTGGTAAGGAGGAGAAGAAGGAGATTGCGCAGAATCAGACGTCGGCGGCGAAGATTGCTCAGAATAATCAGGCGGTACTTCAAACGAAAGCGACGGGGACGAAGAGGTCGTCGAATACAACGTACGTACTTTTATGATCCCAGTGCTATCGTTGATTACCCTCTCTCCAATGAACATCTCCTGAAAAAAAATAATGACTAAACCCTCCCCCTCCCACCCTCCTTCATCGGTTGCGGAGAAAATCAGGAATAATAGCTTTTTCCCTGAAACAGGTCTCTCCACCCCACCCTTACCCATTAATGAAAAGAGGAAAGTTGAAGAAAGAAAAACAGAAAAAAAAAAAGACAAAAAGACAACGACGACGAATTAAACGAAGAAAAAAAAGAAGAGACATTGCCGACAGCGTTGATTCGTTTCTCACTTTAGCGGCACTTCTTGCTTTTGATTGATTTTCTTATTTCGATTATTAAATAGAAATTCACATTTGGAACAATTTTAGAAGGTTTACCTCTTTTCGTTGTTATGTGTGATCGCCGAACTCTGTGTCGTAGAAGAAATTACCTTTTCTGAGCAACATTAGGGTTAGAAGTCACACTTATTATAAGTAATTATGATGAAAATTACTCGGTTTATTTTACGCTTTAATTATTTTTTGGTAGGGTTCATTAAAGTGAGATTGGAAAGTCAAGGCTTTGTTGATAAAGTAAGGGGACGCAAATTGTACGGACGCTCGCGGGCCTACATCAGAGTAAATGGAAGAGATTACTCTCTACACCGGCGTGGTTTTAATGTTGTTCTTGTCAGCCGTAGAACTGGTAAGAGACAGTAGACTTAGGATGTCATTTCCTTTTTTTGCATATGTCCCAGCTGATGTAACCGTATTTCAGTTGTCAAATTTGCGCATTTGGATGTCAGGCGACGTTCTATTGCCAGTGAAACTTTTTTCTAAATACTCTTCTGAGTGACATGTTTTGAGTTGTCATAATGAAGGCGCCAGTGGTTTCGGCTGTATTGTAGAGTGTTTTTCGCTTGAGTGTCGTCAAACCAAAACCATCTGGGTAGCAGAAGACAATCAAAACAAATGGAAAAAATCATATGCAAAATCAAATTCTAATAAACCGCCTCAAGTGCAGGAAAAGGTAGTCGACAAAGACGCATTTTAAAAGTTTTGAATATGATTTTATTAGTATATGTAATCACATGAGGCCAAGTACTATTAAGGATTAATTGCACGAGAGTTTTCAAAATTTTCCAAAATTTGGAAAATTTTGAAAACTCAAGTGCAATTAATCCTTAATAGTACGAGGTCTCATGGGATTACTTGTTTATCAATAAAGGGCAAAATTTATACGAAGGAAAATCACGCGTGCAGTCTATTTTTAACAAATTTCAAGATAACGAACGGTTGCTATGCAACGGATTAGCCAATCATTAACAGGTAATCATGCCCTCTCTTGATTACTAAAAATGCCCTCGATTAAGAAAAAATGCCCTCTCTCTCAACCAATCAGCGCTCAGTAATTTTGCCCTTTATTGATAAGATATTCAATCAGATCAATCCTCTTGTTTAGAAAGTCTGAAAGCCCCCTAACTGCGTAAAACCGTGGTTTGGGTTAGACTTCGTGTAAATAACCAGCACTAAGTAATTTAATACTTTACAGTAGTTATATTGTTTTAGTTAAGCTTCCTTTGCACCTGTTATGAAGCTTGTGTATCTTCATGGGAAAAAAAATTACGTAACTGAATTTGCAATCTGGTTATGACCAACAGGTCGGGTTTTCCGAAGGGTAAGTTTTGACACTCATGGCAGCCGTTATCAAGCAAAGAAATTCAAGGACTTTATTTACAGAATCAGAAGCGGGTATGTTGCGTCAACCTAAGTTACCGTTATCGAATTTCCTACAGTATATATAGTATTTGCCTCTGCGAGATAGGAAAAGAGTTTCTGGGCACTCAATAAGTTTTGTTCCATTGCCAACCGCTTGTGCTCTGATGTGACATGAATCTATTTTTTAACTGCTGGAGGATATTCTTGACCCTATTTGGTAACCGTGAGATTTAAGGTTTTATTTCTTTTTGTTTGCAATTTCGGGCCATCACTTGGAGCAGGGAACAAATATTTCCGAGAAATTTTCTATCGTTAACTAAGAAAGGTTGTTAAAATAATGAGCAAAAATTAATACCAGGAAGAATCAAGTACGAGTCGTGTAGAAACCGAAACTATTTCCTCTATCCCTGCATCCATCCCGCTAGTCATTACTTCTAACTTAATTTTTTTCCAGTTATCCCTCATCCTTTATTATTTTTCCAATTCATACCCCAAGTGATAAATCCCAAATGATTCTCAAGAGGGCTTCGTAACCTAGCGGATCCTACCTGCAATTTATTACCGAATCTTTTTACTGAATCCCCTGGTTAATATTTCAGCACGATTGTGTTAGTTGCCGTCCAAGATGAAGCATATCGGTACGGAAGATATTACAAGTATGTCTTCAAAAGGCTTCAGGTGTTACCACGCAGAATTAAGCTCAGTTACAGAGGCAGTCTTGCCGTGATCGGTTATGTGGGTCGAGTCAGACAACGTTGGCTTAGATATAGGTTTAGACCTCAAAGACGTGGCCCAAGTTCCGTTGTCTCTCGTATCCCACTTCGCCGAGGTATGTTGAAGTTAGAAAGGTCTTTTGAAACAAACGGAATTAAATAATTTTGAAAGCAAAGAACTTCTTAGTACGGTGGGCCGTAGAGGACATGCTATCCACTTTTTAAATTCAATTTTATTACACGATAAATGAGATTTATCACGCGATGAAATCAAAATATCGGGCGATAAATGGGAAACTTGGTAGGTCGCACGTGATTGGCTGTCACGCACGTTGTTTCCGTGGACGAGACGACATTGGCTGCAACAATTGGAAAGTTCTTTCTTAACGGGTTTGGCGATGCAGAAGTGATGCCTTGAAATTTAGAAACATGCAATGTATTCAGAAAGATCAGATTATCCACATTTGTTCTCAGGCACTTACAGCCATCTCTGAAAGTGTCTCGTAAGAGTTTACAAAATCAAGGTTTACTGTACTGATTCACAGAGCTATGTATCGTAGAAGTATTGCAAAGTACTGCTCAATGATCTTTTAACGAAAATAAAACAAACTATTGACCTCAAAACATACCTCCTCAACTGTTGCAGCCATTGTCGTCTCGTCCACGGAAACGACGAGCGTGACAGCCGATCACGTGCGACCTAACAAGTTTCCTATTTATCGCTCGATAATGTACCATTTATCGCGCGATAAAATTGAATTTAAAAAGTAGATAGCGTGTCCTCTATGGGCCACCGTAGCTTAGACCCTTACCCTTTTTAACTACAGCAGAACACAGGCAATGTGACGTCATAACTGTGTTTATACACTCTTCCCAAGATGGTATTTTATACGAAAAAGTCACCTCTTCGGATTGCAGATTGGTATTTTAAAAAAAGTATCTGCACCTCTAGCTTAGCTTCACCCCTCACCTATCACAGTTCAGTAAAATATTGATCTCTGATGCGAATCGACCGATTGAGAATGAGATCGTTTGTTAATTTTGTTTCCCTAGGAGCGCTAAGAGGGGTAAGACGAAGAAGCAGAAGACAGCAAAGGGTAAAAAGGCGAAAGAGAAGGAGACGAAGAAGGCGAAGAAGGCGACGTAGATTGAGGCGAAGAAAGAATCGTCGGAGAAGAAGAAGAAGACGAAGAAGAAGAAGAAGAAAAAGGAGACGACGAATAAAACGATGTAAGTCTTTTATCAATAACTTTGGAAATATATTTACTCTCGTACTTACGGCGATACTGTGAAAATAAATGTTATGGAGCATTCTTCACAAAAAAATCCCTAATTCTGGGATTTTTATCTTGAAACTTTTTTTTTTTATGACGAACTTTGACTTTTTGACCTCAGAATTATTTCAGTATCCAAAGTCCAGGATTTCATTCCTCGTACTCACCTAGTCCTACATTCGTTACAATGACGAATAGCATATTTGTCTACCTGTCGATTCTGCTTAAAATTTACCTCTTTTTTTCGTTTTATTGAGTTTAATGTCATTTTGTTATTTTGTTTATTTATGATACATCGATATAAATAAAAGGGATAACATAGACATAAATATTATATAACTGAAAATTTAACATGTGGCGAGGAAACCCGTAGAGAAACCAAGAGGCTTATGCATGTTACAGGTTCCTCGTATTTTACATCAGTACTATGGCGTGATTCATGTACAAAGTATTTGAAGTTAAAAGACACACTCGCACGCAGAAAACAACAATAGCAGGCACTGAAACAAACATATGCTTCAGCAGCCTGACTATTTTTGCCAAAATATTATACAGACAGTGACCTTAGTGGCATATAAATATGACGTGGAATCCCAACAAAAATCACCTCACCCTTGTTGTTCGAAGGGTTGATAAAGCTATCTACTGGATAAATCTCTTTCCGTTGGATAGCGCAGTACAATTGGTAACACTCACCACTTTCCATCCGCAGTTATCTTCAAATACCACGGTCGGCGACGTGTGGTGCGCACAATACGAAAGTACGTTTTCAAGCTAAAGGGCAGGAGGTATCCCATAGTCGGGTTCAAAAGGCGCTTAAGACTACGTATAAAACGGAAATGGTGCAGGCTTAGACGAAAGGGTCGACGATGGAGGGTACGTATTAAGAGGCGGTGGTGCCGCCTGAAGAAACGAAGAGGAAAGTGGCTCTACAAACTTAGAAGAAGATGGTTGCGTCTTAGAAGGGTCCGGCTTACAGTACGCATCAAGCGTAGATACTACCGTGTAAGACGCCGAAGAGGACGGTGGTCATGTAAGGTCAAGAAAAGATGGAGAGGAATAAAGCGAAGGCGTTTGTCATATTTCCGCTTTAAAGGACGCAAGCGTTATGTAAGGATTGGACGAAGAAAAATAACCTATAAACGGAAACGATTCAGGTTCATAAAACGGATTACTCGTCGTAGAAAAGGTGATTATTTTTAAAGGTTGTTGAATGTTAACTACATGGAGGGCATTAAGCCTTGGAATTTTCCGGATTTTTGAGGACTTAATTCTCAGCCGAAGTAAAAGATAAAATACCCAAGGGAAACTGAATACTATCTTCTGTTCGACAAGTCAGTGCTGGTCAATATATACTTAACTAACCCATTTTGTAATGATTACTGTCACTGTTTTTGATCATTTCAATTTTTTTAAACTACCCTCAGTCAATACCCTAGAGCCCTATCTGCTTTGGGAGTTTACATCTGATACAATCGCAAGGTTTTTTTTTTTTTTTTTTGCTGTAGAGCTGTATTATGAACGGTCGCTTGCCAATTTTGTGATGTCCTACTCATCTTTTAGTAGCAATTAGAGCTTCAGTAATACAACTGATGATCTGGTGGATCCTTTAGCGTCGCAACACACCCAAAAGATACTTACTCGGCTTCGTCTCGGGGAAAATTGAGCTTCTCGAAGGAGCAAATCTCAGTATTTCCCTGGGGCCGATCATTTAGAGAGTATCGTCTTGTAAAAAATAATAAACTTGTATGTATTGTATTGTTTGATGATGTTCGTGTTAGTTGCACCCTGTCTTTGAACAATAACTTTCGAATTACGTTTTAGTCTTGAGCCGACGTGCTAGAAGGCGAATTTTACGTCGGCGACGAAGAAGGTTCAGACGGCGGTTGAGGCGAAAACGACGCAGAAGGAGAAAAAGGAGGAGAAGACGCCAAAGAAGACGCCGTCGACGAAGGCGAAGACGAAGAAGGGGGCCAAGGAGAAGAGGTAGGAGGGGACATGAGTTCATAACTCAGTGATAAGGCTTTGTTCTGAAAAATGCCTAGTCACGACGATTGCGCATTAAAGCAGATACAGTATATAAGTATTTATAATATATAAATTAAAATATAAGTATTTATATTTCCATTTCCCACCAAGCTTCTTAAAACTCGTATTTCGGAAGTGAAAACTTCAGGATTCACTCACGTTTCTTTTAAATAACAGATTTATCCACAATTTTTACCTACAGTGACGGAGAAATTTGAATCACAGATATCATCCGCTTGTTCGTGAAATGCACAAAGTTTGGTTACTTCAGTCGGGTTTGACGGTCCTTTTTAGGAAAGCCTTTTGGAAGCCCCTAACCACCTTTTGAATTGAACACACGGTAAATAGACGATAAGTCTTTCTTGAAATATATTCTCACAGGTGTTAGTAGGAGACGATATCGAAGGCAACGAAGACGACGACGGAGAAGAAAACTGAGGAAGCGTAGGCGAAGACGTCGCAGAAGACGTCGGCGACGAAGAAGTAGGCGACGTAGAAAACTCCGAAGAAGACGGCGACGAGGTGAGGCAAACCATTGATAGTATACTGCAGATGTTTGAAACCGGCAGCCTAATATAACAAGGGTTACTTGGAAATGGAAGAACCAATTTGACGTTTCTTAAGGTAGCTGATGAAAAATTGCAAGCTCTAAGCGCCGGAAACCAAGATTTTTTTTAGCTGCAATTGGTTAAAATGGCAAATTTGGGTTCACCCTTCTGAACCATTAACGGGTAATTTAAAAGTAAAATCAGATTAACGTAAAATCGAGACACTCAGGAACAATTACAACACAGAATGGAAACTGGCTCACTCCCTTTCCCCCACGAATGACGCTACAAAAATGTAATTTAGAATGCAGGAAAATTGCTTTTGTGCACATTATGAGGAGAATCACCCATGATCATATCACGTGCGTAGTTGGAATGTTGATGACGGTGATGACGAGGGATTATAAGAATAATGATAACGACATTTATAAATATAATATTAAAAATAACAATTAAAAAAATTTACCGTCTTTCTTGATCTGATTACAAATGGTGATAAGCGATAATAAAAACGATCACAGCCTGAAATATTTTTTCTATAACTACTGTAGCATTGCGATTACCCAAATTACGTTTTGGCGGTAAATACCGAAGAATAGGTACCATTAGACGTTGGGTTGTAAAGGTAGGCAGAAGAAAGTATCAAGTCCGTGGTTTCCAGCGTGGGCGCCTCACCATTAGAGTCGGAAAGAGAACTGCACCGCTTATACATAGAGGACCTTTCTGGTATATACGTTTCGGAAGAAGACTGGTGAAAGTGAAAAAAAGGGGAGGACGACGGTATATAATTTTGAGACGGAAGATAATCTATTTGAGGTGGATCCTCAAGTTACGGTTCAAGGGCGTCAGACGCTTTGTTCGATGTCGCAGAGGAAAGTACAGTATTCGGTTCCGAAGAAAATGGTTGCCAATGAGAAAGCGTCGGCAGAATTTCATCAAGCGTGGACGTCGAAGATATTCGATAAAGAAACGAGGCAGGAAATACTTCGTGAGATATCGAAATAAGTGGAAACGAACGAAATTGAAATGGAAGAAGCGATATCGGAGAGGTAGGATTCAGTAGGTTTCACCAGTAGAATAGAGAAAGATGTTTTTCGTCTTATCGCGAGCGTGGGAGCAAGAAAAAAATTCTGAGTCCCCATGAACATTATTTACAAACATGACGCTATCGACATTGTAGATCCTAGCAGTATGCAGCGTTTCATATGAACTTCGTAATAGACCTCACCCACCGTAGAGTCTCTGTGGCTCACTGGTAAAGCATAGGAGAGGGGAATCCGAAGGTCGGAGGTTCGATTCCTCGTGGGGACTCAGATTTTTTTTTATTTGTCCCACGCTCGTGACAAGACGAAGAACATCTTTCTCCATTTCTTTACCGAGCTCAAAACTTAGCATCTCTCTTATTCTTTTTACCAATAGGTTTGAGTATTATGGCGGTGATAGTTTTTTCCCATTTATTTTCTAATCAGATACATCATAATTCTGTCCCGAGTTTTGAATGAAACGGAAACTTCATTTCATATCCAAAAAGCAATGAGGAGATTGATCTTTTGAAAAATGAGAAAATGATAAATAAGGATTTTAACTTTGGCCACGCCCTGTAATGGTCAGATGTACATATATCAGCTTGAAAATGTTGTCGGGCGAATCATTGCGGGTACAGGTTGCCCGAGGCAAGGATGACGTACGAGCATTTTGGAACTTATTAGAAGCCAAGAAAGTAGCCATTTACCTGGCGTGTCGTTGGTTTTTTTAGGAAGGCGACGTTACAGGATCCGTCGAAGACGACAAAAGAGGAGGCGGCTTCGACGACGTAGAAGACGGAAAAGGAGAAGGCGACGAAGGCGACGAAGGCGAATCAGAAGGAAGCTCAGACGACGTAAGTATATTAGGTTGTACCCCACCGGTGTTCGTGCTGTCATTGTTTAATGCACCATGAAATTGTGGTACTAACCTTTTTTTTTCAGCGAAACCGGGATTCATTAAAGGCAATTTCAAGCAGAAAGGGCGAAGAAACAGTTAGAATTTTTGAGCATTCATGGTGTTAATTTGCCTGAATGATCTCGTTACTAGCACTTTACGGGATCATCATTACTAGAACTTTACTGGGTCATTATTAATTTTGGAGTGGTAAAATAAAATTTAAGTATAAATATGAGCTGAGTTTCTGATCCTGTCGAAGTTTATATTGATCGCACTTGCTTTAACCCTTTAACTCCCGTGAGTGATCAAGACAGAATTTCTCCTTACATTATCAATACAATTGCAAGCAGGCAAGTGATGAGAATAAAGAGAAATAGCAATCAGGGGATTATCAGTTGATCCAGTAACAAATTCTCAAAACTAAAATCATAAGAATTGTACAGAAGTCAGCAAGGAGAATTACTAACGGAAATGAAAAGGTTAAGCAACATTGGTTATAAGTATTACGAATCGATAGGGTGCTATCCCGTCGCAAAAAGGAATAAAAATGTTTGGAAGGTAATTTACGCGCAAATTTAAAAATTTGTCATCAAACCAGGGTCGAAATAGGACTTGTGTGTCATTTTTTTCCATCGCAAGGGAACTGAATCAGCAAATTTTCCCTAAGATAAATTACGCGAAATTTTTGTAGAAACAGCTTGTGTCACCTAATTAAATGGTACAATTTTTATAAAAAGGTTTAAATACGCTTTCAAAAGCTTTTCAAATCGCTTTTGGACAGATGTACTTACCGAAATTGATTCCAATTTGTAGGAAGAAGAGCATCAAGGATACGCTTTGGACGTAAATATCGCACAATAAAATATCGCAGACAGTACATCATCCGATACAACAAAAGAACAACTCGATTACCTAATTTCAACCGGCGTGGACTAACAATCCGTGTATTTAAACGACAGAGGCGAATTTTCAGAGTGCGCAGACGATGGTACATTAAGATAGGACGAAGAACGGTTCGTGTTGTGCGACGTGGCCGCCGTCACGCTATACGCTGGAAAAAAAAATGGGTGTGGTTGAGATGGAGATTTAGATTACGCTTTAAGGGCGTCACGCGGGTGATTAGGTGTCGTGGAAGACGTTGGAGAATCCGTATAGGAAAACGCTTCAGACCTATTAGAAAACGGAGAACACCCTACATCATAGCTGGACGGAGACGATATCGAGTGAAAAAAGCAAAAGGAGGAAGATATCGTATATGGGTGAAAACGAAATGGAGTAGAGCAAAGAGAGTCAAACGACCGCGGCGAAGACGTAAGTAACAAAATTTAGCCAACTGCGATTGATAGTTTCTTTTCGGGTAAGAAATATGTTGGATCATAGTGTTCGATACATTCTCTTTCTCACAGCTGTCAACAGGGTTTAGCTGAAAGCACTTCGTTTGGCGCGTATTTTTCGCTGAGTTTGTACCGATCAAAGAATTAATTGAGCGCCGAAGGAGTGAACTACCACTCTGGACATTTATATGATTTTCTTGGGGCTCGGAAATTAGAAGTTCAATAATCACTTTCAGACCGTGGTCTCGGACTTTTTGTTCTCACAGTTACTGTTCCATTTGTGGCTTCGGTGTTGCGTGTGTTCCTTTGTGTTTGAATTTAACTTAATAATTTTTTTAAACTCAGACTTCTTTCCCAATAAAAACCAGACTGACAAGAAAGTATAGATGGACACGAGTGGGGCTGTACTTTAGCGAGGGTTGCCCGTTTCGTTAGATAGTCAAGACTGCTTTTTGCTGTCTTTGTGATATCACATCTTTTCTGGTGCGCCAATGATATCGTTATTTAGACTGCGTCAGTTCTCAATTTGGAACCGGTACTTTCGCATGTCTATCATTTATTGTTGAAAAGGAAAAAATACTAAAAGAAGTAAAGCTTTTTATCAATCAAACTTCTAATCATAAACAATCAGATAATTTTTTGAAACAAACGGAATTGTCGCCAACGGTTCGAGTATTTGAAGGTAGTTTGAGTAATCAACGCAGCAAAAGTACAATGAAGCTGAAAGGTACTTTTGCAAGGAGTACGCATGCACACTTGATACATGGAATTTTATTTCACCATTTTTAACTGTCGCCATTTTATTATCTTAAAGAACGTAGATTGAATAATTTGAACGATATACCGGTACTCTTGATTTCATATTCCATTAAAATTGCGAGTGGGTTTTGTCCGTTTTCGAAGACCTTTTACATTATTCATACGTGGACACACTTTGTGTCATTTGACACGGTTTCTCGTGTCATTTTGCTCACTCGAACTGCGTGCCATTTCACTGGCGGGCGTGCAATTTTGCTCACTTAAACTGCGTACCATTAACTCCAAAACTTATTATTGCTCCCCTTGACATACTCCTTTGTTTTTACAAGTTAGAAACAGCCCTGTCGTTCATTGTTGTTTAGCATGCCATTTTACCGTGCCCGTGCGTTCGCCTGTTCACATGTTTTCCTGTGGAGGGTCATATATTAAGTTGGTTGTCTATTACCTCACTCTCACTCTCCAAGTATATTTTAAGCCATTCCAACTATCTCAAAATTCCGATTTCTAGTTTAAAAAAGCTCAAGAGTTTACCTGAGAGCACATCCTGAAATAGGGTCTCGTAATTTTCCCCATGTTTTCTTGTATATGCATATTATTCCATTTACAAAGATAGGGGAAAGATACTTCGCGGACATCTGTTGATTGATTTTGTCTCGTTAGGCAAACCAAATTGGTACAAGCGAATGATTAAAAGAAGGCGACGAAGGCGAAGGAGACGACGTCGAAGACGTCGTAACCGACGTTATAGGCGGAGACGAACCCGTCGAAAACAGCGACGCAGAAGACGAAGACGAAGACGAATGAGACGAAAGAGACGACTGGGAGGTAAACAACATTTACATCGTTTTGAAAAAGAGTAGTGTCTCTAATTCAAAGAAGAGAGTGGCCTTTTCCATTGCTAGTGAACGCTTTCATCACGCTCCAAAATACGATTTAACATGGTGACTGTTTATATTCCCCCACAAAATGCGTGGAACAGAGAATGGTTCCAAGAGAATGCTTTATGTTTTTCTGTTGAACTATTTTTACAGCGTGTGATTGTTTATCAATATTCTCTTTTAACCAGGGGAATAAATTCCAGTGATATTAGTGTCAAAACGAATAGAGCGATGCTGTCCAAAATTTTTCAAAACACTTCACGACTATTTTCATCCCCCCCAAAAAATCTTTGGTGGCCAACAGCCAAAAATGTGTTTTTAAAGAGGCAATCATCCATTTTGCAGTATCTTTCGTCGGCTCCATGTATATAGTTAGAAAGTGTTACCTTTGCAAAATATTTATTGACCTTTGACGTTCATTTTCTCGTACTTCCCTCTCTCTGTTAACAGGCTGGAGGCGACGTAAAATTAATTTCAGGGGAAGGTTCCGTATTTTGCGTACATCTAGACCTCGATTAAGTATCAAAGTGAAAGGAATCCGGTACAGAATCCATCTAGGTAGAAAGTTGATGAAGATCAGGTACGGCGGAAAATATAGGGAAGTGATATCCAGAGGGAAATTACCGTACCTTAAGATTGGAAAGACTTTATACCGCATCTACATCCGCGGACGTTATTGGAATATAAGAAGAGGGAGAAGATTGCTCCGCTTACCAAGGGTTGCGAGGTACTATTTCATGAGAAAATGGCGACAGGCGAAATGTAGCGGGAAAAGACTATACATCAGGTACATGCGGCGCTGGTTCCGTGTCATAAGACAAAAGGGGTATACCATCCGCTATCGTGGTAGAAAATTAAGGGTGAAGAGGACACGTAAAGGATACAAAGTACGCTATGGGGGTCGCTATGGAAAGGCTCGAAGAGGTAAGATGGAGACGAAATTAAAAAATTATTTATCTATCCATCCGACGCCCCAAAAGTAACTAGGGGTCCATTGAAAAGCCTGATGGAAAATATGGAGAAACCTCAAGGAAACGTTGTGGCTTCTAACTTCTTCAATGAGAATTAAACTACCAAACGGTATGAAATAACAGAGGCGAGACGACCAAACGTTATGAAATAACAGGGGCGAGATGGATGAAACAACATTTACAAATAGAAGTCTAAGAGGGGATTAGGGTGATGATGATAAAATAAGAATTTCAGGTCGCAGTGTTTTCTGTGAGTTTGAATCACTGATGAGCGAAGTTTAAAGTCAATAGTGAGCTCAAGCCAGTCGTGCTGCTCAGGCGTTGTCCCTTTGTCATGGACACTTTTCAAAGTATTTTGGAATAGGCTAGTTGGATATTTAATTAGCTGTATAGGATATACTCTCCATCAGTACGATTATACCGTAACCAAAATCATTTGTAACTACAGCGAGGAAAAGAAGAACGAGGAGAAGAGGGCGCGGAAGACTTCGACGAAGAAGGGGAAGGCGAGTGAGGAGGAGGAGACGGTACGGACTAAGAAGGAAAGGACGGCGGGGAAGACGACGACGTGGAAGGAAGTACGGATTACGACGTCGACGACGAAGAAGACGTGGTAGAAGGTACAGACTAAGAAGAAGAGGAAGACGTCGACGTGGAAGAAGATATAGATTACGGCGTCGACGACGAAGAAGACGTGGTAGACGTTACAGGTTAAGGAGATATCGTGGACGAAGGCGTAAGTGTTAATTGTCAATTTTGAGGTTAACGATTGACCCAGTAGGAATTTTGAAACGGTGTTTATGGAATGGAAATGATAGCACTTTATCTAATTAGCATAGATCAACACGAAAGCAATGCAATTCATAGGTCATCCTTTGAAAAGGTAATTGCGTTAATTCCTTCCTCTTAACTCTCGAAAATTGTGAGTAGATAATGAATATAAAATTGTAGTATTTGGTCAATCTATCATTAAAGTAAGCTGGATTTCCCCACGTTAAGGGTACCGATTTTCTTTCCAAAATATTAGGAGTGTCGTTAGTGATTCGCCTCTTTGAAATATTTCTATTATCACAAGGGTCTTTTTATCTAGACGTTCGTATGAAAAAGAAGATCATATCTTTAAGATTTTGGCCTTTTCCAGCTACATGGAATATCGGGTGATTTTTTAGGAGCGACTGCGAAATTAAGCTTAAACTCGAAGGGCTCTTTCTTGTGAAATTTTTAGTTGTAAAGAGTAAAACTTGAAGTAGCCAGGCGGTCACCATTTTATTCTTTGCCAATACTTTGCTTCAGAAACCCATACTGACTTGAGAACTAAGACTTGCCGTATAGACACGTCTTACACAACTTCTCCTTCTCTAAATAAGGTCGCCCAAGACTCTACTTCAAAGGACGTTACCGACGTTTGAGAAAGGGAGGAAAAGTATGGTACGCGAAAATTGGTGGACATAGATTCAGACTTCGCAGAACCGGTCGTCGAGTGAAAATTTACTACAAGAAACGATGGCGTCTAAGTAATAAGCAACGCGGAAAGTGGTACATCTGGTATGGAAGAGGGTGGAAGCTTATCGTGAGGCGTCGAGGCCACTGGTTTGTGAAAATCCGTCGGCGCCTACAACGGCTAAGAATGAAGGCGAATCTGTTAATGATCAAGGTCAGACGGATCTGGGCACGCATGATGATGCTGAAGAGGCGGCTGTACGTTAAGGTCGGTCGTAAATGGAATCGAGTGGTTAAACGTCGAATGTATCGCATACGCTATCACGGCCGCAACCTGCTGGTCAAGAGGAAAGGAAAAAGCGCTTCTGTTCGATATCACGGACGTTGGTGTCGCAGGAGAAGGATAGTGAAGAGACAACCTCGTCGCTTGTGTAAGTAAATTCATCTTTATCGTTTGCCTTTATCATATCAGACTTGAATAGTGATTACTACCGGACATGAAACGAGGACGTTGCAGTGTGCATAATGAAATAAGAACTTAGCTCTTTTTTAATCCCGCCGTAAAAAAGACCTAAGCTATGATTTTGATTTTCGGCTTACAAGCAAACCTAAAGACAAGCTTTAGAATCACGTGCAAAGTGTGCTTACAGAAACCCTCTCCTTTCCGTTTGCCGACTTAATTCTAAATTTTGTGAGAACTAAATTTGTCTCATTAGTATTGTTGACTCTTTCAATGTCCTTTGTCGTTTCATAAATACGCGCTAAGTCAAACTTCGAACCTTTTTTGAGTGCGTGTCCTGATAAGAAGCAGAACCTTCTTCCGTTTTCAATATATTTTTTTGCCACCTTAGGGGTGTAAAAAATGGTGGAAAATTACCCTCTAAATAGACGAATAGAAAAAGAACTTTCCAACGGGGAAAAATGGCAGATCCTACACCGGCAAGCTTTTTTGGAATAATTAGGCAATGCATTTCATTTTGACATAATTTAAAAACAAAGTACAGCACTTTCTTTGTGAAGCTTTTTATCACAAACCTGGCGCTTCTACTGAGTTAGTGAGTGATCATAGGCACTCCACTTTTTTCAGCGAGGGGACAAAGAAGGCGACTGCGAAGAAGGAGGAGAAGGCGGGCTAGGAGACGACGACGTCGGAGGAGAAGGCGAAGAAGGCGAAGAAGAAGACGTAGACGGAAGCTTAGGAGATATGGACGGCGACGACCACGACGTATGTATTTTTGTTTAAGCTAGCGGAAAGCCAGTCGATTCCATACTACTATAAAGGTGTTGATGTGAAAATCATCAGCCGGGCATACCGGTTTTAGTGAGTACTATTTAAATTCGCCATTCGCCGAGTCAGTCCAATAAAATCGCTATTTTGTACATTGTCAGTTACTTTCGTTTACTTTGCCAGCGTTTGAGATCCCTTAAACTTGTCTGCTTTCCCTGATTACAAATTATTATGCGCCAATCTGTAAGTAAAAGGGCGGAAATGGTTCGCAAAAAGTTCGAATTTCCATCTCAAGAAACCCACAGTTCACTCCTCAATTCTATTCCTAAATGTACCGCGTGTAATAAAGCTTTTTACCATTGAAACAAATTAAGTACAATTTTATTTCACGAAAAAACGCATCATACAGAAAGACCTAAAGACGCAACAGAAGATGACGACGAGGAAGCGTAAGTAGCTTGAGTCCAAAAAAAGAGAAAAGTATCCTGAAAAAAACATTTTAACATTTCAGGTGAATTGGCAAATGTCACAAGTTTACTTACATTTTAAACTTTGCCCTCGGTGATGTACGAAAGTCAGGAATTATATTTTGCAAGAGAAAATTAAATGAACTGTCATGACTTCAACGAATTGACAGTATTATGATCGACCAAAGTTCCGTTGAATTGGTGGATCTTAAGCAGGCCTCTTGAGTACTGACGTGTTTCTGTTGCTTCCGCGGCTGTATGACACTTTTAAAAATATTTAAGAATAGCTATTCACATTTTGATGCGTTTGGTTTTAGGCGGAAGACGCCGCAGAAGAGGACGACGAGGAAGGCGTAAGTATTCGGCGTCCAAAACCGAGCAAAAATAAAAACGGAAAACCATTTAATGTGCATGACAATTTTTGGATGCGTATAAACATGATAAATTGTGCTCCCTAGGCAGTCTATTAGAAAAAAAAAAAAAAGGTGATGAACTTTTATAGCTTGGCTTAAGATGATCGGCTTAAATTCCATTGACTTCGTGGATCGTGAGCAGCCCCTTGCGCGATCATACGAATTTGAACGTCACCTTGAGGATTGCTTTGTCCCTTTCTACAGGTTATTTTCATCATTTATCAATGGGGTGCCTTTTTCTACTGCATTATTCCTTTTTTTCCTATACCACAGTGTGCGTTTATATTTGAACGAGCATTTAACTGATCCAAATTACAATACTAGGAACGACTAAAATGTGCACGTGTTAAAATTTTGGATTGATATCGACATAATGTTACTCGCAAGAGGGGTTGGAAATAGCATGGAATTAGTTTAGGTAATCTCGCGAGAATAGTCATAAAAACATAAATAAAATTCTTTGGAGGAGAGAAAAGTATTTACCACAAGGGCATCTAATTATCCGTCTCTAATTATCCGTAGAGTGACTTTATGGCTTTTACGTGAATAGCAATAATCAGTGTACTGAATGAATTGTAGTAAGCGGAGTCAGTGAATAATCTTGTCGTTTTATACAGGAAAGAGATACGTCCGCTACCGTGGAAGACGACGACGTGTAAAGATCAAAAGGAAATACTTCTTTGGACGGAA